GGCTCTTTTTGTTATCTGTCAATTATATCTCGATTCTTTAAGTTTTGATTATGGGGAAAGAGTTTTCTCCTCTCTTCTATTCATATTTTATAGCATTTTATCTAAGCAGGTTGACATCGCCATCCCGGAAGTGTTTGTTGGTGGACTATTGGGCTCCATGCTTATTTATCTTTTTAGTGCGTGGGCTTGTTCTGCAGTGGGTCGAACTGCTCAGGAGGTTGTTAATGAAGTAAGAAGACAGTTCATTGAGAGGCCAGGCATCATGGTTTGTATCATAAACATTTATTTGGCTTTCCTTATGTTGTAAAATGGATCTCGATTATCAGTGACGTATCATATTATTTTTCGTCTCCTGATAGGATTACAAGGAGAAACCAGATTATGGTCGATGTGTATCTATTGTTGCATCTGCTTCTTTGAGGGAGATGATAAAGCCTGGGGCATTGGCCATTATATCACCTATTGTTGTTGGTGAGTTACTAATCACCCTCTTAGTTTTTGATAATTGATTCTGATATGTGGAAAGTGTACTTTTGCGTCATAATGTAATAGAATGGACACTGCATATGTTTAAAACAGGCCATCACAGTATTTCAGCGTAGAATTGTTGACATGATTTGGGTTTCCATTGATTTTAAATTTTGAATAACAAAATAACGAATTGGAAGTGTAGTTGCTAGCATCAGGATTTAAGAATTCAATTCAGAAAATATATAAACTATATTCCAACTCTTAAAGTTCCTAGTTGTAAAATAGATTTCTTTTTATGAGCAATAAATAGTATGATAATTATATTTCAGATTGTATAGAATAAAATTTATGATTGATACTATTTATTTGAGAGAATAAAAAATGGGTTACATGCATTACGAAGGACATGTTCAGTGTTAGGTGACAGCACCTTTGTTGAACAAGCCTGAGGATCAATTCTTTGAAGAAGCATTTCTTTTGAGTAACAGTTGCACAATGTTGCAATTTGGTTTTCCACAGCTCACCTAAACTGCATATGTACAATCTTCTTAGCAGTTATTAATATTATGTATTTGACAGAGTAACTGCATGATCTTGACCAAAGAAATTTGTTAACAAACAATTCCTTCTCTAGATGCTAGATCAGGTGCCTGCCCTTAGATGTGCAAATTATGGCACCAATGCTGTAACTTTATGCTCAATCACAAATTGCTTTCACAAGAGATGATTATGATGGAATCATCCTCTTTTCTAAACTGATGATGATCTTTAGGTGAAGTCTGTACTAATTTTGTATTTAGGTGATGGAATGTCGGGCACCTTGCCAACTGCAGTGCATTCTGGAGTTCCTGTGAATGCTATTTTACATAAAGCTTATGAGTTTTATCTTTTCTAATTAGCTGGGCCGTAAGGTATAAAAATCATTTTTGCTCATTGGAAGATTCTGAGTTGCCTTCATTTTTATTCAGTTTTTGTAGGACTCACATTTGCAAATTTTTGTAATCACTTTAATATTCTGATGTTAAATCTTATAAATTTAGCTTAATTTCGTATAGCTGAGGGAATATGCTCGTCATTTTGCAGGTTTTGTGTTTCGGGTGCTGGGATATTATACAGGGCATCCATTACTTGGTGCCAAAGTGGTGGCTGCCATGTTAATGTTTGCCACTGTTTCTGGCATTCTCATGGCTCTTTTCCTGAACACTGCTGGAGGCGCCTGGGATAATGCAAAGAAGTACATCGAAACCGGCGCTCTTGGTGGCAAAGGCAGTGACTCCCACAAAGCAGCAGTTACTGGTGACACGTAAGTGTTTACATGTACAAGTGTGGTATTTACCTGTAGTAGTATAATTTAGTGGTTTTCTTCTATGGCTAACTCACACATCCACATCCAATAATGCTTGCTCATGCACGCACTAGATCTTGTTCCCAACCCCACATGTTCGATCAGAACAAGAATTCACATTACATAAAGTGTAATAATCGAGATTGTTAAAGAAACGAATTACTATAATATGATATTATTTTGCAGGGTAGGAGATCCCTTCAAAGACACTGCTGGACCGTCACTTCATGTACTTATCAAAATGCTTGCAACAATAACCCTTGTCATGGCTCCTATCTTTCTGTGAGAGTCTTCCCAAAATATACAAGATGATTTCTTGACTATCTTGCTCATATTGCTACGTACACTGAGGAGTTTTTGATGTAATTGAAGGACCCTAATTGAAAAGTTCAGTTAATACTTGATATTTTTCCCTAGCTTAATTTGAATTAGATATCTTTTTCAAGCAGTTTACTGAACTGGTTTTATTATTTTTGTTTTTTTCGTTTTTTTTTCCAGTTTTATTTCTCCATATTATTAAAAAGTCTATAAATAGTGAAACCTGGGACCCGAGACTGTTTATCAACTCTGAAAACTTGTAATCCTATTTATGAATACAAGGTGAACTCTATTATATTTCATAAAAATATATTGATCGAAAATCGTACCTAGAATTGTAAGTTTTGGCCCTTTTGGGCTAGGCTTAGAGACACTTATTTGTCAAACTTTCTTGTAGCCTGTTTGGGATTGTTTATAAGTTGCTTAAATTATACAATCAAGTTACATGCACATCATCCTTTACATTATTTTTTTACACTTTGTCACATGATAACACACCATTGGACATTTTAAATTTTTGACAATTTTTTTTTTTCACCTGATCAACAATTGTCAATACTTGTAATGTCGATAATAATGTCAACAAAAGAGCGTAAAAGTGACATTTTCCTAAATTATATATTGATAAAAATGAGTGATGTATATATATATATATATATATAAGAGCCGCGGGCCTATGATGAGGACAAGAAGCCACTGAGAATTAAGCATTTTATAGAAAACAATAATTGAGTATTATTTTTCTTCTCTTGTGCATATAAAATGTTCAAAGTAGTTTTCAGTGATGTATGGTGTGCAGCTTTAGGTTTTAATAACTAAGTTTTATCTGCTAAATTCCAGTGCCATTGCCAATGCGTCCTATAAACATTAACAAGAGTAGTTTTCATGCCAATAATTTCTGCTAAATTATGCCTCCTCATGAACATACACATGAAAAATGTGGGCATTTCACTTTCGGCATGTTAGGTATAAAGTATTAAATTTTACGGGTTAGTACGTCAAGAAAGAAACACGAGCTGAAATCTTTTCGAAAATTGTATTGGGTCGAGTCTTATCCTTTCTTGTAGTATACATGAGTTTACCGAACAAATGCATTGTTTATGTTGTGTAAAATTAATAATGAAAAATTGTTGCATGCTCCATGCTCGGACGACATCAACTTCTCAATTTCTATTTCTAAAAATGATCATTACAAAGTAACAAGTCTAGTTGTTCAGTGAAGAATCTTGGCATATTCTACTCAACAAAATATAAAACTAGAAGTCATGAGACATGCTGCAAATATTTATACACGTATCTTAGCCTAACACTGCCAAACTTGTCCCAATAATGTGGCTTTAAAATATGCATCCCTATTTCGTTTCATAGTTGATTCCAAACTCGACCAAAGACCTAACGTGTTAATTTTTATATACAAGTGGGCATAATTTGAACTCGAGACAATGACATCACTGTCACATTTTTCAATAAATTTCATTCTAATACCTAGTTGAAGGGGTTCGACTGATGGAAAAATCCGACTCTATACACAATTGGACAAAAGAAAAGATGGTGGAAAAAATTAGTGTGGAATTATTTAGCAGAAGGTGCCATGGAACTATTGCCAGGACACAACACTCTGCACTGTTGATGACATGTTTAATTTGGACCCTCAACAAGATGGGCCAAATGGGCCAAGGCCCGACAAAAAACACTGCAGATTTCCCTCACGTGTGGGTGGGGTTTTGAACTAGTCAAAGTCAGCATTCCTGTTTCAGGGATCAGTGTCACACGTGCTAGTCTCCACTGTCCAGTCAATGGCAGACACGTGTGGAGAATTGTGACATTTTCACGTGATTTTTCTGCCAAATATCCCGAAAATATGGTTGATTTGTTCCTTGCTTAAATAAATTTAATCTCGAGGTACATGCATGCATTATCCCACATATTAAGAGTCATCGTATAATTAATGTTTGAAGTCCCACATTTGACTAAATCTTTTGATTTTTATTCTGTCATGTTTATTATTTTTAATCTCCTCTAATTATCGCCAGAAACTTGACAATTGTTCAAAATGATCGTGTATATATTTCGTTGTGCATAAAAGTTGACTTCCTCGACAAACATACGTGCTTTACATTGTTTAAAACTAACCTCACAACTACTTTTCTCGAAAGCAGCTAAAAAGCAACTTTTATACAATGCCAAACATGTATATGAGCAGATTTCACTGAATCGATGTTCAAACGTTTAATCTCTCCAATAATATCTCTTTCTTTCTCTTTACTTTTCATGAACACGTTTTCTCCTTTGTTATTATCGCATTAAGGAATGGTTGATCAGTTGAAAGTTTTCAAAACTAACAACATGTAGAGCGTGCTTATCCTCGCTTTAATTAATTTCTCAACTTTAGTGCAATTATCCACCAATTATACTTATTTTTATCAACTTTAAGAATAAATTATTGGAGCAAATTAGTGTCGCCATCCCCCATCACCCTCATTGTTGGGTGTATTGTCTCAAAAAGCAAAACTAAATTTCATTGTCACACTTAAAGTTTTTCCATCACTTATTCATTGTTATATATTTGTGTCATCTTCAAAGACTCATTTTTCATAAATGTTGTAAGTGTGACTATGACACTAGACAATTCTTAATTCCATGTTATTTAAGGTGGACGGCATAACAATATTAAATATCATTTAGAAGGAAAAATAAGTTAACGAATCTTAGCTCACCCCAATGTGATTAGTCAATATTCTTTCGATTCTGCTACAAGTACATCGATGATATATAAAGGGTGTCCATAATGGACATTCGGCACCCCGTATTAGATGAAGTATCGGTGGGGTTGGCACTTCATCCAATAGGGGAGTGTCAGATGTTTATTATGGACACCCTTATGTACCCACGATGTACAAGAAGAATAATCTATATTCTTTATGCTTAATTATCTTACGAACCCATAATTGTATTTTTTTCCTTTTGGGTATGTGGTAAGAAAAGCAAAGAATTATGGTTTCTAACAAAGATTACTTCGACCATTTCTGTTGAAAGAATATCACTAGACACATTTCCTTGTTTAGTATACTGAGCAGTAGAAGTAATAAGAATCAACAATCTCCGAGTAAAGGGCCCTCTTGAGATTCTTATTTAAGCTTGCATCTTGTATGTTACTATCACAAGTATACTTGAATATATAAATTCATTATTCAGCCTCCCGAGGTATAGTTCAGTGGTGCAAATGATAGGAATGAGGTAGTCTCAGATGAGCTGACAGCCAAAGTGTGAGGGTTCGATTCCTGTCTCTTACAATGTATGGAATTGAACTCTTTGTGGGTGCTAGTATGACAGCTATTGTACTCTATCTTGTTGAGGCACATCCCACGATTTACCTCATTCACAATGCTATAGGGGTGGGGCGGAATCTTCAAGGTTGGGGTTCAACCTTTTTTTTTCTAAGTTCATTATTCACGTTGTCATAATTTATACATGTGATTGTCACTAACAATAAGTACATGTGGGCATTTGGCATTCCTCGCGTCTAAATTATTAACACAAATTATTTGAGTGATCCATATAAGTATTATATTTAGTCATTTTCAAATTATTAATGCAAAGTGTTTTCAATAGTTATGAGATAATCATACAATTGCACACGCATTCTCGTAGGTTGACGTTGCTATGTGCTTGTAAACGAGTCTTCCTCTAAATTTTTGTAATCTTTACCGGCCAATTTTACCAACAAGCATTATACATGTCTTAAACTCTAATTTTTTAAAAGAACGTGTCTCATTTTTAAGAAAACTTGATTTTGATGTATGCCTAAACCTCAACTTGGCCCCCAATGTTTTATAAAGTTTGTTCATTCTTTTCCTAATGAAATGCAAACTTTAGATAAGTGCTTACACAATCAAAATAAAAATTTCCCAAAACGTATATTGGTGCAAGTAAATGTCACCATACTCAAAGGTCATTTTCAAATATGTTTGAATTATATAATTCTTCCTTTATTTTCCAACTAAACAAACAGACCAATAATTCTCATAAAGCGAATAAAATACATAAATGTTTATGAAATCATTAATATAATCAAAAGTCGGTTTCAAAGAGAAAGTCTGTCCAACTTTTTCTCTCCCAATTTTTTTTAGTAGAATAATGAGCGATTTTATCAAGAACGCCATTTCCTCGTGCTCTTAATATTTGAAGCGAGTATTCAAACAACTGGTCGAATTTTTCTCATCAATATAGATTGTCATATATAACTTATCAACAATATACTCTTTATAATTGAATACTTATTTTTTTTTAAGTAAAAAATTTTACTTACTTTAAAAGTAACTTTCAATAAAAATTTAGTAAATTTTTCTATCTGAATAATAATAATAATACTCCTTATAAAAGTTTAAGCTGATCCAAACAAGTGATTCAGCAGCTATTTCAGGAATGGGTATTTTCCCGAAGAAATCAGCTTGAAAATTATGAAGAAGACAAATATATATGACGATATAAACAGTTTCTTGCATCATTAAATATTTTCTCTCTCTCTCTCTCTCTCCACGTTCCGGCTTTAATGAATATCACTTTCTGCAACTGTCTCTCTCTCTTTTTTATTTGTTAAATCTGTCTTGTGATTATTTACTATTGTGTGCAGAGCCTGAAAAAAATGTTGCTGTTTCGTTGAGCAAAACTGGGGAACAATTTCTGCATTTTTTTATCTGTCTTTAACTTTGTCTTCTGTTCAATCCTTTTCATCTTCAGTTTCTTGTCTTCAAATTGAACAGTTTCCACTCCGAAATTATTCATTGTTTGTTTAATATATAAAAGAGAAGACAAATCATTTGCAATTTTGGTTAAAATTGGTGGGTTGATTCGAACTGGCACGATTCGTAACTGGACCTATAGTCCTCTATCCCCTCGGCTTAGATAGCAGGGTCGGGAAACAGTCGATTTGACACCTCTAATCTACATTGTGAAGTGATACTGTTT